TCTGATGGGGACTCCCACTGTGCTTAGTACCTTGTGGACCCACTATTCCAGGAGAGGTGGTGAGTCTGACCCAGCGGCCACTCTGGCTAACTGCAGGATGAACACTGCATAATCTGAGCCAGGCTTCCCTGTTCTCACTGCAGGGAAGACTGACTCAATGAGAGCCGTCCTGCTTGCTGGTCACTGTCCTGCCCATGGCCAGCCCTAAGGATGAGACAGATCCCACTGTGTCTTCTCCCCTCGGTGGCTCTGCCCAGCACACGGCACGTCACGCGCCTACAGAGCTATGCAGGCCTGGATCTTCCTCACTCGGCTGCTTGCTGTTCAAGTGCTCCACGTACGTGCTGGGTTCACGCATACCCAGGCTGCGCCACGCAGCTGTGTGGCCTGGACACTCCTCTCCACGCCCCCATGAAGAGGGCACAGGGCAGAGCCACATGGGGGTCCCACAGGCTAGACACCAAGCCTCGTTCTAGGTAAGGCAGCATGGCACAGTGCCTCGGGCACCCGAGCCCACCCCGCCCCCCCCCCCAGGGGCCACCAGGCCCACATGAGGAACAGCTGCTCTGACAAACCTAGACCTAAGGATGGTCTCGAGTCACAGGAGGAGACCCCGATGCTGTTGGCCAGGGAGGAGCTGGAGGCTGATGCACCCTCCTGCCCTGCTGGCACAGGGATGCCCTGTAGAGGCACAGAGCTGGGCTCACACTCCTCAGGCTTCCATTTATGGTGCTGTTCACACGGGGGACATGGAGGTTGTCACAGGTAACTCCGATCCTGACATGGTTATGCAAATTGTAGTTAATACAGCTAACTCAAAAAAGGAGGCAATTATTATTTGCAGATGACAGTTTACTTAAAACCATACAATAATCAAATAACTAATTAAAAACTATTAGGACCCGCAAGAAATTGTATGCATTGGTAGTTAACATGTAGATAATGAACTCTGGGGCTTGCCTATACACTGTAGTAATGAGCAGGGAGAACCAAAGAAATAGTTATATAAAGTACCCAAGAATAAAAACATAAAATCCATGAGCATTATATGAGAAAATAGAAAGGCTTTTCCTAAGAACAGAAGCACTCTCAACTCAGTTGGTGACACCATATTCCTAGAGTGGAGATCCACGTTAGAAAGTTCTTAGGAGCTGCAATCTCAACACATTTCCACCGTGACGTGGAGATGGCATGGGCAATGGTCCTGAGGTTTGCCTGGGAGGATGCAGGGGCAGTGAGTGGGGGAGAGCAGGGCCTGGCGGACATAGGCCCCGTGTGGGGTTCTAGCTGACGTGTGTGGTGCTGGCCCAGGACAGCGAGGGCTGCAGACAGGCTTGATGAGCACGGGACAGCGGTGGCAGTTCTTGTGTTAAGAACGAGGAGAGGAGGAGCAGATGACTTTGCAGCAGCACTAACAATCAAGTGACCGCACACAGTGCACCCTGCCCTGCTGCCCTTTAGTCCTAAGAGACCCCTGCAGGAATGACAAGAAGGCCAGCACTGCCACAGGAGACAGAAAACCGCAGCCCCACGGCGCCGCTCACACGAGCCAGGCACAGGAATGCAGAAAACGCGAAGGACCGAGCCGAGAGGGCATGAGCCCTAGTAAGACCAGCCAATGACCAAGGCCAGGTGCATGGTCCGGGCTCTGGGAGAAGCAGCCACCACCACTGGCACAAGCACACCTGGCTGAGCCTGGCTGGGGCCTGCAGCAGCTGCTGTGCCCGGCAGCCTGGGCCTCAGCAGCTCTGGGGCCCCTCTCAGGCTTGCAAAGCCTGCCCGTTCCCGCTCTGCAGGACACCCGTGGACCCACAGCACTGTGACTCACTGCTCCCAGCTCAGTGTTCCTTTCTGGAGCATACCCAGGCTCCTTGTCACTCCCTCCAGACTGCACACAGGTGTCTGAGGCTGTGGGACTGGCTTCGCCTCAGGCCACAGGAAGGTCAGTAAATGGGAAAGTAGGAAATCATCACCTCCAGGAAAATCCAAGAGCTGTGTGAGAAAAGACGAGTCACTGTGCTGTGCTGGGGGCTCAGCTGTGACACATGCACACTGTCACAGTGACGCAAACACCGAGTTCCTCAGCCAAAAAGGGTAGGTGGAATATGTGAAGAGCCGAGAAATGGCAGTGGACGCCCATGCGCACAGGATAGGGTGGGGTGGGGAGGTGACCTGAGCATCACGACCTCGTGCAGACCTTATTTACGCAAATTAACAAGGTAAGTTACATCCGAAAAACTACTCCCATTCCAATTATGAAATTCTATTCAAATTCACTGATGATTTCATGACACTAATTAGACTGTGTGTTCAAGAAACCTGTCTGACGAACTCCGCGCCCGTCGCTAGCAGTACTGAGGAATGGAACAAGTTTAAGCCATCAAAACAAAGGAGTGTTCGTGCAATGATGCGACTGCAGCTTAAAGGCTTTTATGATCTCCATTTTAATGAAAAAATAAAATAAATGATTAAAATGCAAAGAGAAATACAACTTTGAGCTTCTTTCTGTGCCGTGGGGTTTCTGGGGCCCCCAGCACCTCTCAGAGGGCCTGCACTGCAGATCGGGGGCTCTCCCAGGAGCGTGGTGGCCATGAGGAGCAGGGCCCAGCCTAAACCCCAGGTGCTGAGGGAGGCCGGGGGAGAGCCTGCTTCCAGCTCCAGAGCAGCCAGGCAAACCCCGGGCAGGAGGCGAGGGAGGTGGGACCTAGCTCGAGCAACCTCAACCCAGGGTCTTCATCCTGTGTCCTGCTTCCTGGGACTGCCCCGATGACCCTCTCACCTGGAGGACTTGTTTTATTTCTGAGTTTCTCTTTTACTGCCTTATAAAAGCTGCCAACGCAACCGACTCAGGAAGAACACCGCGTGGAGCGTCTTCCCCACGGGCCCTGCCATCTTCCCTCCTGTGTGCTGGCAGGGGCCCCGCGTCACAGGGCTGAGGACAGGAGCATTGCAGGGAAAGCCCACTTCAGCAAGCATCTGCAAGGAAGCCAGTGCCACAAGTGCCCTCACTCCCCGAGGAGCCACGGCCGGGCTGACAGGGTGGCCCAGAGCTGCGAGGCAGCAGGCGGCCTATTGGTGGCAGGGCAGGGACACACTGGCCTGTGCCCTACGGGTGCCCTACCTTCCCATTTCTAGGAGACTGCAGTGGGTGTGTGGTGGCTCCAGGCCAGGATCCTTCTGCAGAGTCAGGCTGGGCCGTGTGCAGGGAGGCCTGAGGGGAGGCTGCATTTTAACCTTTTGCTTTTAGGGGTCACAGAAATGCAGCTTGACACATACAATTTTTTTTATTTACTGGTGAGGCCAGCATGTCCAGGCCACCACGAGAGCTGCAGGCCCTTCCTGGAACGACTTCCACTGACTGTGCCATCCGACTGGTACACATTACTGCCCAAGGCCGGCCGCAGAGACTCTCTCCCAGTCCCGTAGTCCAGAGCTGAGCACAACACCCATGGTCAGACTCCCAGTGGGCAGTGAGTCTGCTCTGTCCATGGCACAGAGACCAGCAGGCCCAGGCCTGCCAGACAGGAGGAGTATCACGAGAGCTCAGGGCCTGGCCTGTGGAGCCCCCAACCACCTGCCCCAGACCCAGGAGCAAGAAGCAGCAGCAGCTACTGCTGCCAAAGCCTGCTGACCACAGCAGAAGATGACCACAAGGCCCTGGGCAGCTGAGGCCCAGAAGGGAGCTTCCCCGACCCGTCTCCTAAGGCTGGGAGGGCCAAGGACAAAGCTCCCAGGACCACCTCTAAAGCACATACACCCCTGGGAGGAGCCTCGGAGCTGCCACGGGGCCCTTCTCCAGGGCAAGCCCGGCTCTGGGGTGCACTACTGGAGAGAGCAGCGATGGCAGCTTCCCAGCAACCTGCCAGGAGGCCCGCAGACAAGCCCTTGTCCAGGACCCACCCACAGTGCACAAGAGGCACTGGAATGGGAGGAACATGCACAGGGCTGAGGCACCACTCCCCAGACCAGGATCTCCAACAAGGGCTCTCGGGTGGCCATCTGTCTCCGGGAAGGCTGCTGCATGCTGGGAGCAGCCACAGCAAGAACCTGGGGCCCCTGCCCACAGTGGCAAGAGGAGCTTGAGACACACCCTCACACTATGGTCCCCACAGCATTTGGGATGAGACTGACATGGACTGCAACTTCCTGAGGTCCTCAGTGAGGACCACCAGCTGGCTGCTCCTGGACTCCTCACCCCAGAAGCAGAGGCAATGTGTGGTTCCTGCCAAAGCCGCTCAGCAGCATGGTGGCTTTGTCACACAGCAAGGATAACTTACGCAACCTGGCTGGGCGGGCTCTGGGCTCTCTTTAACGTGGCTCCTAGAAACATTAATGTGACCTATGTAAGTTCAGCATCAACTGTGCATTCCGGCTGCCACGGCGCTCCGCGCGGCGCTCAGGCTGCCAGCACATCATGGCCACAGACATCAGGCCGGCCAGCCTCCCGGCAAGCTGACTGCACAGAGAGAAGGCGGTCCCCCTTCATCAGACCCTCAAGTATCCATGAAGAGTAAGTGCCAACGGAGGTCTTTATTAGCACTTTCCTCTTACTCTTTTCAAATTAAAACAGACTCAACTCCTGGCAGTTATGAAACACGTAGAGAACTAGGTAAGAGAGAGAGGTCTCGGACAGACGGCAAGGGGCTGGGACGGTTCCAGAGGGAACTGTGCTACCTGGTGCTTGTGGCTGGGCAATGTTCCTGGGCACAGGTGTGTTTCTAGAAGGATGTTCCACACTGTGGCCCTGAGACGCCATTCATCTCAGCACCCCACATCCTACATGACACCCGGACACGCAGGCCTCATTAAAGCCCACCTGGTCCATGGGTCTTAGCACCCCACAAAGTGAGACAGAGCCTCAGGGGCAGAGGAGAGCTGGTGTCACCAGAGGGCCACCTGGTCCCTGGGTGTCAGCCCTCCTCAGGGGCAGGAGGGCAGGTGCCACCTGGCCCAAGGTCTTGGCTCCTCGGGGCAGGAGGCCAGGAGCCGCAGCTGCTCACCTTCATGTGCTCGTGCAGCTGGGCCTCGTGCTGCCGGGACAGCTGCTCGTGCTGCCGCTGGAACTCGGCAATGAGGATCTGCCGCTGGATCTGCTGCTTCTGCTTCAGCGCCAGGAGCTCCTGCTGCAGCTGCTGCTCCCGCAGCGCCGGCTCCGCCACAGGCAGGGGAAACTGGTGATCCAGGCGCAGGTCCATGGGCACTGCCGTGGGGGCCACTTGCAGAGGCAGTGCCGAGGCCACGTCCACTGCAGAGAGAGCACAGCACAGACAGCGCGTCACTGTGGTGCAGAGCTGGCCCCAGGGTGCCCTCCCTCCCTACACAACCCCGCTGGCCACAGCCATGGGGCTCCCGGGGGGCTGAAGGACTCTGTCCCGAAGCCCACCTTAGCCCCTGGGTCAACAGGCTCAGGACACAGACTCGGGGCCTCTGAGGCTCCAGCCCTCTAACTCGAAGGTCACAGAGGCCAGAAGTTCAGAGCAGGAGGTGTGCTCGTACCAGCCCTTTCCTCTGCCCCACCCGCACCACAGAGGCCCTGCTCCCAGAGGACCCCATCCCAGGCCTAGTGGCCTGCCAGGTGTCGTGTCTGAAATGAATAAAGGGGAAAACACAGGAAAAGGCTCTGGTCAGCCAAAGAGCAAGCCGCGTGCCTGCGCAAGCACGGGCAAACTGCCCGCTCTCCCCTCCGCCCCTTCCTCCTCTTCCCAAGAAGCCACTGCAGAGTTGTGTGTGAGCCCCAAGAACAGCGTGTGCCACAGAAGTGGTCCAGATAGATGCTGCGGGAGCCAGTTTCCATGGCGACATGAGTGCCCTTTTGAAAACATGTTTACCCGACCACAGCCAGCGCAGGGTGCCCCTGGCTGGCAGCACAGGCACATCAGCTGGCTTCCGCACCCCACCACCCCTATCACCGCTCGGAAGAGCTGCTGCATGACTGACCAGAGGCCAGTGCTGAGTCCGTCTCAGGCCCCGAGTGGCCCATCTTACAGTGAGAAAAATGGTGCAGAACCCAGGGACGCGTCGCACACGGACCCCCTGCACAGCCCGGCACATGGCCGTGCCAGGAGCAGCAGTGAGCAGCCGGGGGCTCACCGTGTGCCAGCGTCCCCAGGTGTGGGTCCAGGATGCCACTGGGCAGCGCTGAGACGACCGCTGGGCCTGGGTGAGGCCTGCAGGCATCCCCTGCATGGCTCCCTACCCTGGTCACCTCTCTCCATCAGCCCAAAACATGGACCACAGGGCCAGAGGAGGGACCAGGAGCTCTCCTGGGGGGCTCAGGCTCAGGCAGCTCAAAGGCACAGAGAGGGTTGGCTGCTTGTCCCTCAGGTCAGCACCTCTCTCTCCTGACCTAGACTGGAGCAGCCCTGTCAGCAGGTCATAACCTGATAGCCTACAGGACCTTCCAGCCCCAGATGCCACCGCCTCACACTGACCCTGGCCATGGCCTAGGTCCGCATCCAGGTAGGCCAGGCTGTAAGTGGCTGTTGTACCTCAGTCCCGAGGATTTCCGTGGTCCCTGGCCGGATGCAGGCCTCACACTGCTGGGCCCTGTGCTGGCCCTGGACCCGCCTCTGCTGAAGCACGGGTGGAAGGCTGCCGTGGAGCTGCCTGGGCACAGGAGGGAGCACTGGTGCTGACCCAGGCGCTGCCCAGAGTCACCTGGTATCCTCACTGACAGTGGGCCTCCTGGGCAGAGTCCAGGATGGGGCCTGGGAGGGAGGGAGGGGCGCTGTGAGGCAGGCCATGGGCTTCCTTGGTGGGCATCAGTGTCCTCCCCCCAAGGCCCAGCAGCACCCTGGCTCCTGCCCTGGCCCGCTGCCCCAGGGTCACAGAGGTCCACTAGGTGACACGCCCTGAACAGCAAGCTGCAGGTGACCAGAGGCCTCAGCACGTGCTGCGTGGCCTGTGAAGTGTGCACCTGTCTGAGCTGGGTGCCAGGCCTTGTCTCACCAGGCTTCCGGCTCAGGTGTGTCCGAGGGGTAGGACCAGCAGCAGTGCCCGCTCCACTCTCACCCACGCGTGGGGATGAGGCTGCACTCCTTTCCTTCCCGTCCCCGAGGTCCTCTCTACCATGAGGTAGAGCGTGACGTAAAACCCACGCACACAGTGCCGGTCACAAACACCAGTGTTCTCCCGCGCTTGCCGTAGTGAAATACCTCGGCAGGCAGGGAGCGCCGAAAAGGAGCTCAGAGGGGCAGGTGTGGCGCCCTCCCGATGCTGCCGGCCTCAACGCCTGCCCTCGAGCGTGGCATGCCAGCCACCGGGCATCCCACCAACCGCCTTCTCTGAACCCACCAATGGCTCCGAATGGGTTCTACTCACTGGGTCAATGCACTGGGCCACCAGCAGCCCTCTGCCCTCCGGGGATGGACAGACTGTTCCTGAGTCGGACACACACGCACCGGCAGGCTGAGTCTGCTGCCATTCCACTTAGCACGCTGCACTCTGGTTGCACAGGGGCCTGGCGTCCTGCCTGGCCAGCAGTGATTCTTCAGGGTTTTGTTTGCTTTTTGAGGGGGTTGAACTGGGGATTGAACTCGGGGCAGGAGCCAGGGTGAACACTGATGCCCACCGCGCCCAGCTGGTTCTTTAGCTTTAATAAAAACCAACACACAGCATTAGTCCACAACCACTCTGCTTCACCTGCTGGACACTACACCACGTCCTGCGGACCTCACTGGGCTACGTGAGGGAAGATGGCCACGTGACCCCTGCTTACAGATGTGCCAGTGAGACCCAATACCTCAAAGGTAGCAAGGCTGTCCCAGGGTGCTGGACGCCAGAAGACTTACCCACTTACCCACTGCTCTCTCTAGCACGTCGTGCCCCCTTACTTTCACGGACGGGGAGGGCACCATCCGAAAAGCCCACCAGCTAGTCTCTGTGGAGACTGACATGAAGACCACCTGTAAGGCTTCCCTCTTCCGACCTCAGAAACACCGCTGGCCAAGCCCTTGGGTCCTGGGTCGGTGCCAGGTGCATCTGGGAGAGGCAGGGCTGAGCAGGGCTGACGGAACCTCTGGGCAGGTGTCCACACAGGACTCTGTGAGGCTGCACCTCACAGAGACCGAAGGGAGCCTCAGCAAGAGTCCAGGGGCCCCACATCACAGAGGGTCTTAATGCCCAGCTCGGGGAGCACCTGCCCCTGCGAGGGCCGGCGCATCGCTGCGCCCTGGGGCCGAGGGAGGGCGGGAGGGAGAGGCACTCCAGGCGGTGGGCAGGACAGGGCTGTTCAGGGCGCCATGTCACCTGCCACACACCAGCTGGCAATGCTCCCCTACTAGGACCTTCCTCACATTCTGCAGCTGGAAGCAAACCTCTATACGGGACCACGACTCCCGTCCAAAGTCCCTCACGGGAGCAGCATTAACCTGGCCACGATGTGGACGCCACGGAAGCCCCCTCCTCAGGGGCAGAGGCCTGGTGGGGCACCCGAGGGTCCCTCCCCACCCAGGTGACGCTGGCCATGTGCCCTTCACGGCTGAGTGTGCACAGGCTGACCACTAGGAAGGGCTAGGAAAG